CCTCAGCTTGGGATGGGGCTGTTCACCGGGAGATCCCTCAGCCATGGAGAAATCCGGCATCCATCCCGCTATGGTGCCTGCTGTCTCCTTGGGATCACATCCAGCTCGTGTTCTCCTTGCCACCATCCCCAGGGGGGTTTGGTGGGGTGTCCTGTTCCTTGGGATGGATGAAGGAGCTCTCAGGGGCTGGGGGATTCTCTCCTGGGCAGGGTTTGGGTGGGATCTGTGGCGGGTGTTGCCGTTCGCCACCTGAACAGGAGCTGCAAGGGGAGACTGAACTGCAGGGACTTGGAGATATTTCAGTAAGGTCCATGAAAGGCAGCTGGGAAGAGCCCAACTGCTGCTTTTCACCTTGGAATCACTGCCTGGTGCCTTGTGGTTTTGGTCCAAAACCAACTGAGAACCATAAACCCCCCTCTCCTCCTCCGGCAGCTCCCGGAGATTTCCACTCTCCCCCTTTGGCTCTTCTGTAAATAAAAATGAGCTTTATTGATTTTATTTCAGTAACGGAGAAATAATTTGCCTTTGGCCTGAGCTCTCAGGATGCAAAACCCCAGCCAGGAGTGTGTTTCTGGGTCTTTTTTCCTCCTTTTATAGTGCTTCTGATGTGTGTTTATGATGCCAGCGCTGACACATCCTAAACTACAGCGTGGCCATAACCCCCGGAAAAAACTCCCACCGGGATTGAAATAGTGCCTGGCAAATGTTCCCTCCTCGCTGGAGCTTGTGAATCAAAAACCATCAAGGGTTTAAGCCGAGCCTTGTGCCAGGGAGGGAGAACTTAACGCCGGAGTCGGTGCTTATTTTATCACGGTGCTTATTCACTCGCAGCCCTTCTCCCTCCGAACGCCGGCGGGGTTTTAATTAAACACTCATTGGCCAGGCTGTTATTCCAGCTTGGAAAGCCTCCAAACGGCCGTGTTTTTTCCCCAAAACGATCGCAGGGGGATGTGCTCCCCTCCCCCCGTCCTCGGCAAGGTTTGTCTTTGCAAACGCCGCTAATTCGGGGCTGGCGGGACGCCGGCGCTGCGATAGCATCTTTCATTAGCGCTGACCTCCCCGCGCTCCGAGGAGCTGGCTGCCCTTCCCGGAGCGCTTCCCTCTGCCTGCTGCCAGGAAGCGGCCCCCTGGCACCGGGCAGCAGGTCCGGGCCTTGTGCTGAGCCCTGGTTTGTCAGGGTCGGCTTGGGAAGGAGGGAGCGGCTCTGTCTGCACAGCGGGGCTGCTCCTGGTGTGAACTCTGGAGAAAGGCTGAGGTTGGTGCCTCCAGGGGTCACTGGATTAGGTGCAGGAGAGTGAAGAAAGGAGTGGGAGAGGACGGGAAATCTGTCCTCCTCGTGGCTGGGTGGGAGTCGGCCTCTCCCACACGACAGGACATGGGGAAACAACCTCAGGTTGTACCAAGGAAGGTTCAGGTTGGATATTAGGAAAGATTTCTTCACTGAAAGAGTGGTGAAGCGCTGGAATAGCCTTCCCAGGGAAGTGGTGGAGTCACCATCCCTGGCAGCACTCAGAAAACACGTGGATGTTGCACTGGGTGACCTGGTTTGGTGGGCACGGGGTGTTTGCTCAAAGGTTGATGACCTTGGAGATCTTTTCCAGCCTCAATGACTCTCTGATTCCTTGACTTTAAACATCTCATGGAACCTTTCTGATGGCAGCACAACTCCTGGCAGTGTAGATATGTTTGTAGACAACTCTCCAGAGGGTCTGGGAGAAACAAGGACCAGGGGCTGGGAGGTGTCACCTCCCTTCCAGCACCCAAAGCCGCTGCCACGGGTCTTTCTTTCCCTTCCCCTGGCTTTAAATTCCCACCCGGCTCCTCAAGCACTGACACAGCTTTGCTCCTGCTTGTCAGAAACGAGACACTTAATTTGTCAGTTGGCTACGCTTAATATTTCTTTCATGTGTGGCGTCGATTTTCAATGCAGAACGTGTCTGGATAAGCTCGTTTTTCGCTTTTTGGGTCTTTTTTTTTCTCACCCTGCTGTAGCCAAAGCATTGAAGGTAGTTGTGTTTAACTAATAAAAAGAAAAAGATTTTAAAATGCTGGGTTTGCACTTCTTTAATTGCCTCCCAATTGCCATTCACGGGGCGAAGGCAAAGAGAGCGACGAGCAAACAAGGAACGTGTCACTCGCCGGGTTTTTATCATAATCAAAAATGTAAAAATTGAGAATTTGAATCAATGTACATGAAACCGTGTAATTGGCTAAATAAACATGGTGGGGGCAGATAATGGGCCTTCCTGATTAGAAGAAAAATACTGAATTTCGTGCCGAGGTTATATTTGGTCGCAGAGCAGCACAGTTTGGTGGTTGCATCATTTTTCGGGGGGAGATGAACCAAGCAGAGGGGGCTGGAGGGCAGTGATGGGTCCAGGCTCTGGTGATGAAGGAGCTCTTTGCTGCAAAGCATTCTTGGGACTGTCTTGAGGGAATTACAAGGATCCAAGGTTGTTAGTGGATGGTGGAATTCGGTTTTCCCAGCTCTCACAAGCCCAGGGCTGGGAGTGTTGGCTCTTCCTGGTGGTCCTGGATGCAGTGGGGGCCTGGCTTGCAGAGGCTGCTCTTGCAGCATGGGAAGAGGCTCCCAAGAGCAGGATCTCCCAGGTAAAGCCCCACCCCAGCTGGATCTATTGTGACCTCTAAGTATTTATCCTACCCTGGACTCGCTCGGGGTGGTTTGTATCTCCATGGGGGACTGTGGAGTTCATCAGGATGCACCATGTGCCTTCCACCCCTTTTCCCTGTAAATTGTGGCAGCTTTGCCCAATCAATGAAAATAAAGAATATCTGATGTCTAAGGTGCACTGAAACTGCTCCATGGACCTGTGGGAAGTCCATGGTTGGAAGCTGTTCCAGCAGAAACACGGAGCTGTATGTCAGCACAGCTGGGAATCGACATCTGGCACCCGGTGGTGGTGACAGGAGTTGCCTGGTGATGCCACCACACCTGCCAGCCCTCCCAAGACTCCTCCCCTGCGCTGGTATTTGGGAGCAGAAAACAAACCACCCAGGCCTGAGTATCGGTTTGCATTTGTCCTTCCCCCTCTGCTTCCCTCAGCCTCAGCAAGAAGTCATTTCCCTGTCAGCCACGAGTCCTGTCCCCCTCAGCCACAGCATTCCCGCAGGTGTTCTCGCTCCAAACCCGCTTGTCCTTCCCTGCAGAACGAGCACAGGATGTCCCCAGGCATCTTTAATCTCCAAAATGCCTCCCCAGGCGAATCCTGTTAATATTGGAGAGTGCAGGAGCGGGGGGAGAGCTGCCCCCCCTCCGTCCTTGGTGTTCATCACTTACCATCGGAATCGGAACGAGGAAAAGCTGCTGGATCTGAGCTTTCAGCCTGGCAGCAAAGGAGTTAAAGGGAAGGTGAAACATTAAACAGAGGCCCCGTGAGAAAGGCAGGATCCTGGGAAAGCTTTTGTGGGGATGAAGAAAATAAGCTGTCACCTGGAAGGGCTCCAGCTCCCACCCAGCCCGGGAATTCTCTGCTCCCCAGCACCCAACCGACAGGGACGGGGATGCCAAAATCTGGGATGCCAATGGGGACAGGAGAGTTCTGCAGGTTGCAAAGGGCTGGGCTGTGCCAGGGCAGCAGCTGGTGTCTGGGTTTTGCCATGGGAGAAGTAGGACTGCGTGAGAGGGAACTGAAGAACAAGGAGTTACATAATAACAACAAAAATAAGGAGGATTTTTTGACTCGTAAAGTTTATCAGCCCAAGCTGGTAAAACAGAGCCACCCTGGGATGCAGGAAGCTGCAGTCCTGGCACAGCAGTGCTGGGATGGTCCTCCTGGGGTTGGAAGAGGTGGCTCCAGGGTGGGAGGAAGAAGCTGGACTGAGGAAGCTTTTAGCCCAGGGAGAGGGAGCATCACCCACCCTCCGGCAGCAGCAGCTCCAGCTGAGGAGCAAAGCTCAGGCAGGGTTAATTAACACAAGGTTTCCTAACGCTGGGTGGGTGCCACTGACCTTCACACAAAGCCCTTGAAGGCGGGAACACGAGGTCTCCAGGCAGTGACCAAATGAAGTAATAAATCCTTTGGGAGCCCTTTAAGAGAACATTAACCCGAGCTTTCCTAAAGCACCCGAGCAGCGGGGAGGGAATTACCCAGGGAAGCTGGGGCACAAATTATCCAGGGGAGCTGTGGTTGCCCCATCCCTGGAAGTGTCCATGGCCAGGTTGGATGGGGCTTGGAGCAACCTGGGCTAGTGGGAGGTGTCCCTGCCCATAGCAGGGGGTGGAATGGGATGAGCTTTAAGGTCCCTTCCAACCCAAAGCACCCTGGGATTTTCTGATAAATGGTGATACCAGGGGCTGCTCCAGCACTGTCTCTTTATGTACAAGCACTTTACACACGTCCACGACTTCATGCTCATGCTCGTGGCCTGCAGCCACTGAGGAGGCAGATATGGGAGGGGCTTGTCTGTCTGGAGCTGCTTTGGTCGGTGTGGGGCTGACAGATGACTGATGACGAGCTGTTTGAGGGGAAGAAAATGCAATTACCCGAAGTAGGCTTTTGGCAGGACGTGGAGACGATGGAGTGAAGTTGAGGAGACCTGGGAAAAAGGTGATGAAGGACCGTCTGCTCACATCCAGGGCCCTTGTTTGCTTTTGGTTGCCTCCACAGAGCTGCTGTTCATGCAGTAATTAGTGATGTAAAACATGCATCGGGCGCTTTGTTCCCATTAGACTTGGCTACGGTTGGAAATGAGGCGCAGCAGTAGCCCGTGGTTAATTTTACCAAATGTTCTCTTTAATTTCATTTAAAACCAGCTGTCTAGAAATCCATAGTGCCTATTTACATCACGTGCGTATAAATACATAGACAGATATAAATATATATATATATATATATATAGTTCCATTCTGAGGAGAAGGTAAGGCATAACAAGGCACCGGTAGGAGCAGGGCACCCCCAGCCCCCAAGCTCCAACCCCAGGGGATGTGGGAGATCAAACCTGAAGGCTCCGTGCTGACAGGGCTGACCTTTGGGTGGTACCTCCCTTGAGATCCAACCTCCCTGCCATGTTCCTCCACCCTAAAATCCACCATGTGCTGCGTGTCCATGTCAATATTGAACACCTGGTGCCTGAGCAGCCACTCCGGGGGCAGTGAGCAGCTGGGAGCCTGCAGGGATCCGCGTTTATTTGCATCCAAGCAAACACACCTGTGTTTAAACACCTCTCACCAACGAGCCCGCCCAGCTCCTGCTTTGCTCTTCCTTGTGTCCTCAAGGCTGGGGTTCCTGGCAGTGGCCAAAGGCAGTTTGTTTCCCTGCTCAGTCCCTGTTTGATGGAGGGTGGGGATGACACAGTGCAAAGTGGGCCGGTGGCTTCTCCTCCCGGCTCTGACCATCACGTCACACCTGAGCCACCACTGGTCATCTCACAGGACCCGAGTCTGTGCCGTCCCTCCCTGCGGCAGCACCAGCACGGCTGGGAGGAGGCTGCCGTGG